GTATCATACGATTCAAAGGGATTTGCAATGATTTGAAAGATTCATTTCTATTTCGATTCTATCTCGAAGGAGATAGAGTCGAACAAACTCGCAAATACTTTGATGAATTCGATACTTAGTTTTAAGTATTATAACTAGCACTTCGCACTATCGCGATTTAGTCTTTGAAATATTTGATATAATTCACTATTATAAAGAATAAATTGAATAAAAATATTGCAAGAAAATACATAACATTTATTGCATTATTTATTTCAATTCTATTTTATATTTTTTGATATTAAAAGTGCGACGTGTTATTAGGTCATCGATAATTATCTGCTTGGACATACGATTAATTGTGCTCGTGTATATGTCAATGAACTCTATGTTCATTCATGGTTCACGAGCTTTACTAATGAACAGTGAGCGTCAATTAATTTTGTAATAATTAATAATTAAAATCATAAAAAAATACAAATTAATTTGTTTAAAGTAGTATRAAAGATCTTATCTTTCTTGCACATAGAAAATGTCCAATGCAGTTTTCAGGAAATGAAGAAAGAAGAGGCTAAATGCCGAAGAGGCTAATGCCGAAGAGGCCYCCACAAATTTGTGGTATCAAGTGGGCAACTACACAGACTATTAAGTTATTTTCAAAAGTTCAACAGCAAGTTCGAACTTTTCGAGAATAGCTCTCTAGTCATATTTATTATATTACATTCTTGCTCGTCATTAATTTGTAGTTGTAATTGGAGATGATGGACCATTCCATCTCCTTGAGACACCAAATTCGTGTCTATATTGTCCAAAAGATGCATATGTGTTAGTTAGAGTCAGAAATATTACAATTTTTATATTATTAAATTTTAAAGCTTTAATAACGTTCAGTAAATATTATAGTAATTTCTCTTTTCTTGTTTCGTCTTTAAGATTTTTGAATGTAATCGTATTTTATTTAATTTGCAATTTTTCTTTTCTATTAGTATTTCATAGTAATTATTAGATATTATTTTTTTTGGTAATCTAATATTTGTACTTTTTCCTTTTTCTTTTTTTTTATATATATATTTTATGTAAATGTAAAATCACGCGTTTAAATTTAATTTTATTGCAACGGGTAATAGAGATTTTTGATAAAAATAAATAAAGAATTTGATTGAAAAATGCATCTGCGAATGGGACGATTTATATGTCAGGCTATTGTTATATACTTGATTGTATGATTAATATAGTTTTCTTTTTGTTACAGGTGATCATCTTTGGATTCAACATCAAACCTTTTTGATTTTCTTTTATTTGAATGGTTGTCTTTTAAAATATATGTTTCAATGCATTTCTGAAGGTATATAAACACACTAAACATGAAATATAATTATTTAAATTTTTATTATAAATATAGCTTCATATAGTTGTGAGGAAATGTACCAAAGATTAAACATTTGTTTTTTAATAATATGTTTTATCAATGAATATATCTATTCGATATCTAAGACCATAGATCAATTTGTAAGTTAATTTCCATAACAATAATTGTGACAGGTGTACGGTTTGTACCATAACTTCAAATGCATTTTTATACTTCTTCCAATAATCTTTATTCAATCTAAAGTAGAATTAACTCATAGTTAGATATTTTTGCTCAATTTCTCCTGTCCATTGTCAATTAAATCTGGTGATAATATGGGTTTATCCGTAAAACTTTTCAATAAAGAACGGTAGTCATCGGTACAACAACAATTGGCAATAAGTCTGTGTTCTCGGCAACTGTTAGCATGTAAAAATCTACAATCGGCTAATTTGCACTGATAAGGTAATTCTTGGATGTAAGGATTTGTACAACAGCACGCATCGTGCAACAATTTCTCACTGCAATAAGGATATATAGAACTATCGCATAGTGGACATTTTTTCCTGGAAAAAAATATTTCAATATGAATATAAAAATACATAAATTGACTGACGATATCGTTTATATAAGAAGATAATAATTTGATAAAAAAGAATGCTTACTTATCTATCGGTGGATACGGACGGTAATAGTTGCCGACTAATGATACATCATAGTATGGTCGCATATTTATTTTAGATTGTAGTGTGAATAAGAACTTAGTTTCTTCTGAGGGATTTTCTTTTTCGTCACTGCTGTAATCCGGGTAATCTGCTTGGAAGGGCACATTTTTATGAAATAATCATTAATACTTAAATGTAATATACACGAATAACTTATAAAATATTATGATGCAAATTAATTGCATTAAGCATATAACACTTTTGTTTATAAGTTAATATTAATGTAATTAATTTTTTGAATGATATATATATAAATCGTATTTTTAAACTAATGAATTATGTTACTTACTTGATGCACCCGACGCATTGTAATGAAAGATAAATAACAATATAACCAAAAAATGTGCCATTCTATGTAGTTCCATAGGAAATTATCACCAACAACACCAAACGCGACTAACTTTCTCAAAAAAATGAAATGAAATGTTCGGACCGATAGGAGATTCTCCTACTCGCGTGTATTCCAAGTGTTTTTATGGTGGTATTAAAAGTATCTACTGAGTCCGTTACTTGAAACTGGTTATATGACTTAATCAACGGATGTCTTTGGTATCCAAGTAGGACGAACGAGATTAAATAAGTGAAATAATATAACAGATGAGAAATGAAATATAAAAGTTAACTATTACTATTATTAGTATTTTAATATACATCCTTGACTGAGATCTTAATTGTAAGCCTAATTTAATTTTACTTTTTTTTATAGTTTTTTTTTCTAGGCCACGAACGAAAGTAGGCAAAGGACAAAAGCATTTGCGATAGAAAGTTCGTTAAATTAACATATTATCACGTTGATTCTTCTCCTACCGCTACATCGTACAATTTCAGAAGATTGCCTATTCTACCCGCGAATCCATTTTATTCTAATTATCATTCGCCATTGATAATAACTCGACGTTAGTTAAAAGAAAATTAAAAATGAATAGGAAGAAACGCAAAACGGTTAGTAATGCAATAACTCATGTGAAAAAGAATTCTTGACTCGTGAATTAGACAATGAGTCTAATCGATTACAACTTCTTGTATTATCGAAGTATCTCTTCTAGAAATCGTCGTCAATTTTCTTTTTCTTTCTTTTTTTTTTTCTCAAGACGGATGTAACCGAACGAGACAATATAAATTGTGTGACGTAAGTAGGATCGGTCTGATGTATTATATAGTTACTTTACGAATAAGATTCGCGTGTTGTCATTAACTTAATCCCAGTATTTTTCTATACTTTATCATTATCGTTAAAGTTCTAATCAGTGGTACACGTATATACGTATCTAATCATTCATTATGTCCTTTTTTTTATTCTCAAAATTTTTCATGAAAATTATTGAACTCTATTATCCTACCAGTTTTTCTTTCTCAATCGTTTTATATTTTTAAATGAATTCAAATGTAAATCCTTAGAAATATCGATATGAGGAAAGATAAATTTATACCACTTAAAAAAGAACCGGCTTATTTAGTTAAAAATGAAAGGAAGACAGAAAGAGACAAATTTGGAGAAGTACATAATCTAAATAAATATTATTAATCGATGTAAAAATAATTTATTTAAAGAGAGTTACTGTACAAAATATTTGGTAATGCTTTTCTAATAAGATTTTATCGTTATAAGTATAATCCGAGCACCAGTAGAAGTATCGTAAGGAACATTATTAAATTTGCATAATTGCGAGATCCTTGACCAGTTGCTAAATATTTCCCTGAAAAAAAAAAAAATAAAATAAAATGATTATATTATTTTTAAAATATTCATCGAATAATAGTATACGATAAGTTATGAAATAATATATTAAAAATATTATTATAATTTCTTATATAATAATGTATGTATTATTAGTTTTGTTTTTTAATTTTTTTCTAAACTTACACACAGATGCTAAATACGAATGGCAACAACATTCGCGTAATCTTGTATACTCGGCACAGTCTCCAGCCTCTACTTTACATTCTTCTGGTCCCACACGACAACTGTGTTCAACGAAGGGGAACACTTCTGAAACAATGGAAAATTTATGAATTAACAAACCACGAAATAGACATACTTATGGCATACTATTATTCACTATTATTTACAAAAAAATCAAATTTTTTTATATTCAGTATAACCTTGATTAACCAGCGTGTTGTAATTCTTGTTTACAGTAACATAAATATCTATAGGTATGCATATATTGTATGAGATATGTACTGCATTGGATAGGTTCCTACACGTGGAGCAGAAAATTGTACATCGTGCGTAAAAAAGATATGTAGAAACAAGATATCGAAATAATCAACCGGTTTAGGTAGTGGGTGAGTGTGGTCAATTTTCTAGAAAAGATAATAAATACTTCCGGTGTTGTATCATTCCGCACGGTTATTTACATTATCGTATTACTACGAGAAAAAATAAGATAAGATGAAAAATGAAACTAAATAAGGTTCAATTGTTTATTTTTTCTCATAAGTTTTAACATACATACAATAAGTTATGTTTTTTATATTATTATTTATAAAAAATGTGTAAAATGATAAACTGTTAGGATCCTAAAAATGAGATTCCCAAATTGTTACCAATAAAGTAATCACGTCTCTGTTCGTCTCGTTCTCGTAATAGGATATTTATCCTACAATGATATAATAGTAATAATAATAATAATCTAATGATAGAAATCGTTATTACGATTATAAAAATACTCGTAACGAATCGTAAGCTATTGTAAATACAAAAGAAAAACTTGAAATTATATTTGAAACTTTAACAGAAGTCATTATTCGAGTTAGAATCACGGGCCGGTAGTAACAATGAAATCGCGTACCTGCACGTACGAACTGCACATGCGGAATACTTAAAATCTTTTAACCATTCGATCGATTCACGATCAATCATTCCGTTTCTTCCTTTTTGCATATTACTTTCTAAATACATTGTTGACCGGTCATGAGTTTATTTACATCGGTTGGTTGAATTAATTCTCGCTATTTTTTTTTGCAACAAAAAGCCAGCAAATATATTATTTAAAACACTTACTATTATAACTACCATCGCAACAGCAATGATCATTGATGACGCTTCCATTTTTACAATAGGTTATCTCTGAATTGGTGCAATGTTTACAACCTGGGATTGGCCCTGGAATAAAGTCAATTACTATACTATATATACATAGATTTCTGCATGAAAGAACATTTGTTGAAAGTCGTTCAATACACACAGACAGACAAACAGACAGACACACAGACGAGCACATACATATGCTTACATATACACGAGGCAGGTGCGTTAACGTCAAAGATAGATCTACATTGAGAACAAGGTGATCGTTCAGTTTAAGCAAGAACCCTCAACCACAATTTATCTTTAAAATGTTATTCCAAAATGAAAACTATCTTAAGTGTTGGTATTAGAAATAAAAAGAATCTAATTCTAATATTGGGGCCCACTTAGTGTTCTAAATCGACTTCATCAAAGCGAGTTATTCTTGGTTGAAAGATAAATACATATTGGTCTAACCATATCAAAATTCTCTTGCATGCACTACTTTTCTGTAATGTACAGGAGAATAGAAATCTAATGTTGTAACATTCATACTCATGCATTTACTTATACACGCATATTAACATAGGAATAAACACATAGAAATGTTTCGGATACTAAAATAAATGTAAATGCTGCTTTACCGGGGAAAATCTCAAGTTTCTTGGCTTCGTTGATCGCATCTTCGTAGAGAACTTCATGTTCGAGAACATATTCGTCATCAGGATGATGGTTAACAACCGTCACTGCTTTAAGATCAGTAAATGTTGTTAGCAAAATAAGAATCGTTAATGTACCAATGTTGCTCATAATAATTTATCTTCTTCCATATCTTCTAAGTCGATTAATTGCACCTTATTTATTACCAATGTTGATAGTTTGTCTTGATTTCTGTTTAAAAAGTCATATTTATCAATTAGAAATGAATCATTAAAGGTGTTTAATTGTTATGTTAATGCATAATATTTATATTTTGGAACATTTTCTTTACGATTTATTAACATAAACGTTTCGTGATTTTATATAATTTGTTACAAAATACAGATGTTTTAAATATGGCTATGATAAAAAATTGACCTTCAGAAGGGTCACTCTCAGGACACGTGTCCAACACGAAAGCACGAAAGAGAGAAAAAGAGAGAAAGCACGTTTTGATATCGATTCGTTTTCTTTCGATGAAGGGATGAATCATCCCTTACCACCCACGACTTAATTCAACCACAACCCTCGAGCCCGAGGGAGTGTACGCACTTATTTCGTAAAAGAGACAATTTTCGTTGAAATTTGTCAACGTTATATTCGTCAAAAAGAAGAATAAAGATAATTTTTTATTATATATATATATATATAATAAAAAAAAAGATTTTGAATGAAATGTTTTAACAAGAAAAAATATACAAGTCTTGAATTCCATAAATTATCGTGAGTCATTATCGTAATAAGAGAAATACAGACTAACAATAAGAGGAAGAGAACAAGAGAGAGAGAAAGACAAAGATGCAATCATTAATTAAAGTCTATTAAAGGGTTCCAAGTGCGAAATAGGAACGTCTTCGTCAAAGTAAATGCATTTATATATATATAAGTGTACTTACTTAAAATTAAAATTAAAAAATTATTGGTCCTATTATTTGTGTACGATTATATTCATTTCTTTCTATTTCTAATATTTTCTTTCTATTCAGTTAAGTTAAGTTCAAATGTGCGGAACACGTACCGTGAACTTAATTAAGGTATTAAGCACGATGTGGAAAAGACGGAGACGATTTATCCACTTTAGAAATTACGTCACTGCAATACTTGTTCTTGTTTTTTTTATCAAATTCTTTAAAGGAAAGAAGAAAAAAAGAATATTTTCTTAATGTAAAAAAGAAACAAATACTTCCTCTAACTAAGTAAAACTTTGCCCCTGAAAAAAAAACATCCATTCTCATTAATAAACATTTTACTATTTCCGATATTTTATCTCTCTCTCTTTTCTACACATGTGCATGTGCATGTTTCTTCCTTCAGTGAACAATGAATGTAATCGAGAATGTTTCCACGTAATCATAGCTCTTGTTTATCGAATAAAAATGTTCATCTTGCTTGTATAGTAATCTCTCTCTCTCTCTCTCTCTCTCTCTTTCGTCATTTTTATCAATGACTTCCAACCTTTGACATAGTTCTTAATAAAACTTTCTATCTTTTTTTGTCTTCCTATCGGTTTACGAAAACATTAAGAAAAATCAAATCAAAAAAGAAACGAGAAACCATTGCTTAGGCTTATCAAACAGGATTTTTATCTTATTTGTTATTACAATTTGAACAACATACTAAAATCATTTAAATGTAATTAGATTCGTATAACTTTGAATCAATTATGTGCAATTTATATTTAACGCGTTTATTTTAATATTTAAATAATTAATAAATTAATTAAATGAAAATTATATTAGGCTTACAGTTAGATAGTTTCTATGTATACATGTATATACATATTCCAAATCATTTTAATAGGATTTAAAATAATATCATATTATCTATGTTCAACCATAAGCCACTAAAATTTATATTAATCCGAGTTATTGCTCATCCAACAAATTTTTAATGAGAAAAGTATGTTTTCACACAATACTATTGATATTTTTTATGAAATAATGGTTAGCAAATTCAAAAAAGTAATTTTCTCATAAGAAAAAATAAATATGCAGTTTATGACTTTTGGTTGAATATAAACAATATGTATGGTAATTATATTCAACACTCACCATTGTTTCAATTAGTTCAAATAAAATAAAATAAACTTGATCACGTATAAATACACACTGTACAGGAGAGAAGAAGACACTTTTAGCGCGTTACAAAAATCAAATATGCGTATGCAATATGCATAATATTTAAATTACGTAAAGAAAAAAAAGTCAACCAACAAATAACAAACGCATTTCTTATATTTGTTTTCTTTCAATTAACATTTTTTTTAATAAGAAACAAAGTAAAAGATAAATAAATAAATAAATATATTTACAAATTAAAGAAAAACGCGCGCACGTAAAAGGTAATTAAAAGTGAACACATGTAAAAAGGAACACGTGAAAAATGGAAGAAGTCTGCGGCAATTGCCTACACAAAGTGCCCGTCAAAGTCTGCAGACTGAGTTGAACTGAGGGCTGAAGAGTATTAGGCGAGTATTCTTCTACTAGCATACTCGCGTATATCGTTGTGTGATACCCGTACTACTACTACCAAAATTACTACTACTAACAAATCCCAATCCTACTGTGTATTACTCTTTAACACACGTAACACCAGGAACATCATCGACGTGACCGGCACAACAGCGACCACCATAAACCATACGTATCGTCATCATTGTCGTCACTGAACGATCTTAAATTCGTACGAAAAGTCTTTTGCGTAACGATTTGCAATGCATCCTAACGTTTCATTCCGTATGTGTGTGTGTATGTATACCAAAAATACACAGAAATAGCGGCATTATCGTCCAAACCAGCTGTTTTACCGAATTTAAAACAACGATTTTGGAATGTTAGGCGAATCTGGGAAAGGAGTTTGTCTATAAAACAAAAAAAAGATTTTAAATTAAAAAGAGAAAGAATATTTTGTAAGAAAAAATGAGATAAAAAGATTACAAGTAAATATTAATTTATTCAAACGAAAAGAGAAACATTTGTTAATAGTTTCGAAATTCTCTCTCTCTCTCTCTTTTTATTTTTTTTTATTTTCTTTTTTATTTTTATTTTTTGCGTTTCTTTCCATCCGGTTTAAGACGAACCCTTCACTTGAACATACATAAGAATAATAACAATGTCTGCTTATCTCTTCGTTTTCCTCCATTTTAGTTCATTCACACGAAATATTAGTAATGCGTGTAGTATGTGTAAATATATATAAAAGGATATTACATATGTGTATATGTATTATCCTTTCGATTCAACAGCTGATACCTGAAGAAACGTACACAAGCTCACGTAGATAGAATAAATGCGTCTTTTTGTATGGAAGTATGTGTTATCCCCTGTGATGCACATTTTAAAAAGGAAAGACACCTGGTGTCAAGGAGTAGGGAAAATAAATGAGACACACACATTTTCAATGTATTTGTGAAATGTACATCCGTGAACATAGGGTGAGACATTGTTACATCAAAGTTTAATCGTAAGATAAATATAAAAATTAAATATGATGCATTTCATATTTTTACGCAAATACGTTGTGTAATAACATTTGTATCTTTTCTTTTTTTTTCATTTTTTTTTAGGGTGTGCTATGGAGACAAGCCCTTTTACGGTTCATATAACATTCATTCTCGGTCACGCTCTATAAATAATACATAATATATATATATAAATACGCACATATATGATCGATCAATTAATTGAAATCTGATTGTTCAATAAATTCGATTTGTATTTTCCCGCGTATCGACCATTGACTACCCTAATCAATGTTAATACTCTGAACTTTTTAAATAATTCAACAAAATATTTAGGAAATAATTAAATAAATTTAAATAAATAATTATTTTATGTTCTAAAAAAAGTATACTAAATAATTTCTAATTTAGATCGACGCATATATTTGTGTATGTTTTCTTTAGTCAGGTCTGTTTCACGTTAAATACTTTGCATATAATCGTTTCTAACGTTGAAAAATAACTTTTGAAAAGTACTACTGCTTTCTTTCAACTTCTCTTTGTCACGTTTATTTTACTTTCCATGAAATTCAACAATACAGAGAATAAATTTAACGTAAACGATAACGCATGCACAAAAATAAACAAATTCGAATATTTTCGTTTTAATTTATTCTATTATACGATTTAAAATCTATCTAATAATGATAATAATAATAATAATAATAATAATAAATATCTAAATGGAAAACTCGTATATAGTAATATTTTTATATAAATTTATTTAAACTAATAAATACTCGGCCGCCATCTGAAAGTTTTTGACGCGTGCGCAATTCAAATCTAAGTATTTTTTTTTCCTTTTCTAGACAACCAAACTTAAATCTAATAAGTTTTTCTTCTTCTTCTTTCTATACTCTTTCCGCAATTATATATACAGATAGAAAAATATTCGTATGTTTGATAGATACATTCTTTTTTTTTTTTTTCAAAAACAAACAATATCACGATAAATTGTAATCAACTTCAAAGAATTAAGAATTTCAAAGTTCAAAAAAAACAACGAAAGTGTTGCACTTTTTGTTTATCGTGTCATATCAATTGGACATTGAAATAAACGCGAAGATGAGTTCTTCAGGAAGAGGAGGTATTAGTGTCAAAGTATTACAAAATAATCAAAACATTTATGAGGATTCTTGCGAATATTCTGATATTAATGATTTAAATGACGTAACTTTTAATATACGAACAATGCAAAAGAAAATCAATGAATTCTTAACTCAACTTTTAGAACAAAATGTATCGACCGATAACAAAAGTAATAATAATATTATTAAACAAATTATCTTTTTTGTTTTAAATATTTTTTATAATTATTATTTCTTTTTTAATTTTTTCTAATTGGTATTTTGTATAAATTTAAGGTCACATCGTTGTGTCGGATGATACAGATTCAAACACAACCACTGATGAAGATGTTGAACTTGAGGCGAAAAAATGCAAGTTAATAAAATAGATAGAAATAATATTAATAATAATAATAATTACGTATATATAAACATAAATATAAAAATACAAATGTTTATTTTTATTCAAATATAATAATAATTTATTAAGTCCATCCTTCATTAGCTTTACCCTACCGTGGAATACGTAACCTTTATCTTTCTACTTGGTCTGATAAATCATCCATTTATACGGATCACCCAAATTACTATTACAAATACAAAGTTAAAAACGTAAAAAAAAAAGAAACGTTTACATATTACTGGTAATATTTTTTATTAAAAAATAATATGTTTCTCGATTGAAATCATTTTTCAATTAGTCTGAGTTATTTCTATTGTGTTTTATCGTTCATAACCTATGGAAATGTGAATGTTTACAAATAAATGCAATGTCAATGCAATACACGAACTCTGATATTTGTTTTTTTTTATTAATTTTGTATTATTATTATAATTATTATTATTATTATTATTATTATTATTATTATTAGTAGTAGTAGTAGTAGTAGTAGTAGTAGTAGTAGTAGTGTGGTAGTGTAGTAATATTATAATTATTATAAGTATTATATATTGATGACATTACCTGACAAAGATATTTAATAACATTTTCAGAATGAAATATGTCTACATTACTATCAAATGAATCCCAAATGAGATACGTAATAGGATGGTTCAGAGAATGGTCAGAAATGCAGAGAGGAGATTTCTTAGAAATATTATTGGAACAATGCGGTCCTCCAGGTTTAGTCAATGGATTAGTACCAGGAATAGAAAACATGAGTTGTAAAGAAGGTTCCGATAGACCTCCAAGCTTATTTCAATGTAGAGTAAAATTGTTCAGAGAATGGAGCCAAAATTGGTCTCAACAAGAGAAAGATTCAGTGGTTTCTTCAATTAAAAGTTTTGATGTTAGATTCGCTGGGAATTATGAACAAAGGTTATCCTTATTGATGGAAGATAATTAAAGGACATCTGTCATTATGTTCGAGTTAAATTAATTTCAAGTATGAAGCACGTAGAAAAAGAATTTTGATATTCAAATAAAATACAAGAGAGAGAGAGAGATAAAAAGAGTTTATTTATGAGTATTGTACTATCGAATAATCATCAGAACTTAAACGGTAAACCATATGAATAGCGAAAGGGAATATTCATGTGATATTTTTTATTCTAAGTTTACTAATTCATCGTCCATAATCCTCGCATCGAATTATTATATAGGAAAAAATATTATTATTATTCATGAAAGTGAATTTATTATGTTTTTATAATATGCGAATTTTTAACTAAAGAAATTTCACTTTCAATGCGCTTACTGCATCGGTACAATTTTTTACAAATAATTATAACTGTATATTTTTTATCATGAAACATATTTATGAACAATCTGTCTATGAGAGTTACAAGAAAAAAAAACGATACCGTTTTATCCCCATAATTAATGATAATCATTTTTAATTTATAAATTACGATCTTAGAATAATCCATTGTTATAGATATAAATATATATTCCATATTGTCAGTATTTATATTGCATGTATTTGGATGTGCGTCATTAAATATATCAAGAAAATATATATCTTTTTTTTTAAATAAACTTTAATGAATTGTTTGAAACAACAAAAGCTTAAAATATACACAGTCAACTTCGTTGTTGTTCTTATTAGTAATATTATTATTATTATTATTATTATTATTATTATTATTATTATTATTATTATTATTATTATTATTATTATTATTATTANCCTACTACTATTATTATTATTATTATTATTACTATTTAAGGAAAAACCCTTAATTTAATTAACGTACAAAGAATATAATATACATCTAATCATTTTCTTATACTTATAAAATGCTTTTATATAATATTTAAAGAAATAACATTTCATTACGATTATAATTAATTGTACATCTTATATGATCCCCCTACTGTAAACGTTGTAACCATTTAGTACAAATATTTTTAATGGCAGTTTGTCCAAGACGATCAGACTCTTTTAAGATCTTCCTTATGTCTTGAGCTCTTGAATATTTAACCGCAAGAAGATATGCAGCTTTTAATTGTTTACTTTCAATGTATGCACTTATCTGAAAAGAAAATGTAAAAGAACATATTAAAATAATCTTTATAAATGATAATTAGAAAGATTGAATGAAGACAAATATTTTCTCTTACTTTAAGTTCTATATCCGTTATTAATCTTATTAGTACATCTATCTGATCTTTTACTACTTGTTCAGAATGGTTGTAGGAATGCTGAAGCATTAATTTTATACAATGCGTGAGTACATGATCACAAATAACATGCGTATTAGATACTCCAGAATTACTATAACATTTTATTAATTGTTCCACAGCACTAACATTATTTTTTAAAGCTAAAACATGTCCAGCCAAAGAGTACACTTTTTGTGCCGTAAGATTGTAATCTATAACAGAAATGATATATAAAATATTATTATTATAATTACAGTAATCCCTTCATTTATATACGGGTAATAGGTTTAACAAAAACAGAGGGTTTATGCATATACAGGGTGTCCTATAACTGATGGTACAAGTGAGCATAGGATAATTTTATATAAAAAAACTAAGAACACCCTGTATATTGTACAAAATTAAATAATAACCTTGCATAATTCTAAATGCTATGCCAAATCCTTCTTCGATGTCGCGTCCACAGAGTATGGCTAAAACAGCTAAGTGTGTCTTTTGTTGTAGATTACCAAATAAAGTAGGTAATTCTGAATTAGACGTAGAATCACTTTCTATATCCGGAAAAAGGCTTAAAAATTCATTCGGTGATCTTCCTTCTTTTTCTGCATTTCCTAAAAACTTAGCTATTTCCATTTGTCTACTTATCGTATTAATATGTTTATCTATTTCGGAAGGCTCCATTTCCATAATAAAAACATCATGATTGCTATAGTAGGAACTTGTACTCTTTCTTCTCTTTTTACTAAAACCTCCTACAGTTAATTCAGATTCTAAATGTTTTTGCGCATCGATCAAGAGATGCGCTCTGTTGCATAAATCTGTATAAGTAGTAGCTTGATTGGTATAAAAGCGAATACATGTCATGGATGCTCTTATACAGTCTTTCATAAAAAGTTGAAGCTGATATAAAATATAGAAGGATTGTTTTTTCTCTAAACAATGGCAAACATATATTAAATATCTTTTCCACAATAATAAACTTGGATCTTTGGTTTTCATAGTCTCTTGTAATTTCTCAGCATTGCCTGTTCTTAAGCAATGCGTATAAACGGCGGTGAAAAATAATTCTGGTTCTAAATTATTTTCTAAAATATAGTCAAGACACTTGTTGAATTCTTTATGCTTCAAATAGAATTCTAATATCGAATTATAACTTCCATAAGTAAGTAGATAATACAGACTTTCCTTGTAATAAATGTTTTCTTCAAAAGTATGTACGTGCTTGATCGTTAATTGTCCTTGACTGATAGCTTTTAAATTATTAATAACAGATAATATTTCTTGCATTCCATCTGTCTTCTGATAAGAATAATTTATGTAATAATTGTTTGTATTTAAATTATCTAATATTTGTAAAATTTCTGTTAACAATGGTGGATCCTTTATCGGACGACTTTTAATGCATTCAATTTTCTTTTGATTAGGTGAATTTTTTTCTTCCAACGCATATGACTTTGTTCTTTTAGAAATAATTTTAGCTTCATCTACATTTTCCATGTTTTTGGAAGTTAATTCCTTTGGATAAGGCAAAACTTCCCAACCGTCGATATCATCCTGAGCGATTTTGTCAAGACAACGAAGAAATTTCTCTCGTGCTTGTTCAAAATATCCTATTTTTAAACAAGCTTTACCCCAAGCTGCCCATACGCCTTGTGTATCTAATCCTGATTTGGTACTAACATCTAATGCCAATGTCCATTGTTCTTTTTCTGTGAGTAAATCTCTTAATTTTCTCAAAGCATGTTCATCCATGTCATCCGAAGGTATAAGTGACAAACAATCGGAATGAATAAGAGTTGTAATTAGATCTATTTGTGATAGAAAACGATCGCAGTGAGCTAATCCTGTATTGAAACCTAATTTAGCGCATTTCACTTTAGCGGCAACTAATAATGATTTTATCATTTTGATAATAACAACGTGATCTACTTCGGGATTCACTTTGCCATCATTAACTGGATATAATAATTGTTTCATTTCATCGCAACGATCAAGTAGAAAACTGTATTAATATAATTATTATATTACTCTATAAATATATCTCTTATTATTTCAATTTATATACAACATTAATAAATACCTTGTGTATGCTTTGTGATCAGAATGTAAATTCAGAATAGCTAAACATAATGAAATACTAGGAGCGTATTCGAATGAAAATTCTTCTCTAATAGTTTTATTATGCGCTTCATCTCTTGTCAATCTCCAATAATCTAATGTTTCACTATTTGGCGTAGATACTCCTCCTTGTGACATATTCATTTGTAAAGTAGTCTGATGTTTACAATCCTCGCAAACACGTACAGGTACAGAACTTGGATATCCAGGAACTTGCATACGACTTTGAGAACAAACTGCACAAACCACACGACCACATCTACGGCAATGATGTCTTCTATTAAACATTGAGAATATCACTGTTTGACAACAGCTACATTCTCTGGCCTGCAATCATTTTTTATAAATAACATTGACATTAGATATAAATCATTTTCTATATTATTATTCTGTTAAAAAAAAAAAATACTTTGTCGTTAGGAATCCATTCTTCTTTTGTGGGTACTTTAGTAGGCATAATAAATTCATTAGTTTCATTTTCCGAACCAGACTCCTGTGTACTTTTTGATTTATTATCGATAACATCACGTTGTAAAGAAACTCTAAAGTCTAATGCTTTCTTACTATAAAATCTTATAGTCTTATCAAATTCAGTTATTGATATACCTGTATCTTGCAAATTTGCACAGACTACACTTAATATTTTTTGAAGAGTTTCGAATTTACAATTCATTAATAATTGTTCTAACATTAAAAGGGGATCTTTTATAAGATGAATGTACAATGATCTTTCTTTTTCTTTCACTTCTTTTAAAATATCTATACTGATCAAAGTCCTTTTATATTTAATGATTTCTGTTTTCTTGCAATGTTGTAAGAAATAATTAACGAGGAAAGATAGTGCGCTGGTAGATTCAACTTTTTTAAGTACAGCTTTACATAATTTCATTGCATGATTAAGTGGTAACGATTGAAGAAGCTGAAACAAAAGTTGATCTTGTAAATAAGAATTTAATAATTCGTATATATCGTAATTATGTTTGTCTACCTTCAAAGCTTGTTTAAAATCTTGTTTCTCATTTTTTAATAAACCGATGAAGAAATCTTGTGCAACAGAGGATTGTGCTTCTAATATAAAAGATTGACATTCCAACCATTCTAAACATAATTCAAATTTGTCGGCGCTGATCAATGATTGTATTATATCAAACGGATCAATTTTATTGGTACAGTATGCCACGTCGTACCACATATTATTATTTTCATTCCCACAATACGGTAACATTTTACGGAAAATACTTATTCTGCGTAATATTTCATTCATTTGTAGTTTACAATGTAAAGGTAATTTGCTACTATCCGAATGATTAAGTGTATGAATTAAAATGCACTCACATACATAAGCCTCCCATTTGCTAATATTATTTAATATTATTTGGGCTAATGTATGTATGTCATTAATTTGATATAAATATTCTAATATTTTTAATGGATTTATCGTATTTTCTTGTTCAGATGTTAAACAACTTAAAACTCTATCCTTAAAGTGTTGTACTTCAAAAGTTTTTACAACATTATTATCCGATAGAGACTCTATAACGTTCAAACAGTTTTCCCATTTTTTATTATCCCAGGATTCTTTAAACCAATTCCATAATTTATTTGTTGGTACTGTTTCGTGAATACCAGTATAAGTTTCATTTTCGTTGAAGAAACATTTCAATTGGCTTATCCAAGACGAATTCAACAAATTCTCCAAACATGCGATACGTTGTAAATTATTATAACTCCTATCTAAAATAGATGGACGTTTGTTTTGCATTTTTTGTACTAAATAAGAAAGTATCCAACTATGACCTTCCAAATATTGTAACAAATTATCTTTAATCAATAACTTTTCACGAATAAATACTTCCTCGTCTTTATCAGTTTGACAAATTTGTATAGAAAGTTGATAATTGTCTTCATATTTCAATAATATTTCATAAGAGTAATGGGCTGATTTATATTCGATCATCACATCTTTATTTTTGAATTGGAGATAATTGTTTATAGAAAATGTATTTTCTTTCCAATTACTAGCATGTTCATTTTGTTTATCCAAATGCAACAAATTCTCATATTGTTCTACGAGATGTGGTAATATTATTTTTGTTTCTTCTTTTAATTTGTCAACATTATCAATATGATAATTCTTTTTTAAATAATAATCCAAATATTCTTTTGCTGCTTCGTTTAAGTTCTCACTTAATGTAGTCGATTCAAAAACCTATATAATAATATTATAAATTAAACACACATATATATAAATAATAATTAATTGAACAGAAATAATTAATTGAAAAGAAAAATAAAAGAATTAAATACTTACGCGTATTCGTGGTGTTTCGTTATATTCATTAGCCATGGCAAAAATAACTCTTGGATCGTGTACTAAATCTAAATCTTGCCATGCTGGCTCATTAAGTTCTGTTATTGGTGATAATAATATTTCATTTAATGAAAAACTGCTTAGCAATTTGGAACGAAGAGTATAAAGTGTTACAAATCCTAAATCACCGATAATGTAACCAATGGACATCAAGGAAACTGTATGTTTTAAAATATTGAAAGAAGAATTGTTTGCCCAAATAAGTAACATTGTATGTATGAACATTACATTCCAAGTATTTAAAAAAAATGTCAATGTCTCATCTCCAACAGATAATTCGCTAAGATCCAACATTGCAAGACGTGATGTTTTCTTCAATATGGTTTGAATATTACCATGTTTTGAAAGATCATTCAAACATGAATAAGATAAATTAGATTCAACTGAGCTTAAAGTGTGTAACACTTGTAAGAGTTCCATCAGTATCTCTGAAATACATTGATTAGGACTACTCGATACAGAATTTCTTGAATCCTATTAAACATGCAATTGAAAAAAGAGTATAATTAATAAAGTTTACTAATGATAATCTTAGGTATTTTTATATCATTCATACTTACAGATGCATCAAAATTTTCATTTAGTATTATACATCCGGAATTAGTATCATCTTTCTCAGATTTCTTGTTATGATAATATGGAAATATCGGAGAAGTACTTATAAGAATGTTGTACACTAAATTAACTTTTAATTTTGTAGCAATTTGTTCAAGATTTTCGGGTTCAACATTTTTATTAAAAAGATGATAACTAAAATACCTGTGAAGAGGGATATTTAACAATCTCGTTGACGTTAACAATTCTGTATTATCTAAAATAAATAAATAAAAAAACAAACGTTAATTAAATTGATATTATGTATAAAGTATTTACTTGTATAACAATTAAAAAGAAATAAGACAATTATTTTTACCCGTATTATTAGGAGCGATTGATTTCAAGTGTTGCAAATGGTATTGTAAATTTAATAAATAACTTTTATCATTATTGCAACTTGTTATTAATTTTTGTATTATTTTTAATTCATTAAATTCTTTGCTATTTTTAACATGTTCTTTATCAACTATTTGTCTTTGTGATATTTTAAATTCATTGTATCCGGTCATAATATTGGTCCATAATTCATTCTTTTCTTTCCAATCTTTGACGGATAATGGAATTGTAACGTTACATAATAAATTAGTCACAGGTATATCTTTCTTATTATCATGCAATAATTGAAATATTTGATTAAACAAATGACTATGTTCAGTGTTATTCAATGATTTGCATAATGTAACATATTTCATAGCAACATCACAAAAACTCTGGGAAATTGGATAAGTTTTTCCCATAGTTAAGGCTAAATCCAAGACGCTTAAAGTCAATATCTTATTGTTATTAACTTTTACTTTTAACATTCTCATATGTGCTTCTTGCGAAGCAATAAACGTTTCAAGTTGATTAGTATATCTGGAAGAATGCATAGCTTCTTGTGCAACTAATCTTATGGTCTGTAAAAATGATAATACTATTTGTAATAAGATCAAAAAATAATATCGTTTTATAAAATAAAATATAAGAATTATAAAAGATAGTTGGAATAAACAGGGCGGTAAAAAGAAAGCAGATTATTTTGTGTACATCTAATATGTTGTCAATATATTCGTTATAATCTCAGACACCCTGTATATATATATATATATATTATATATATAGTAAAAGTAAGAAATATTATCGTAAAAAATATTTATATTACCTCCAATGTAGTAGATTTGATATTTGTTTTGGAAATATTAGCTTTAATCGAAGGATTTATTGAATTTAATATTTCTTGTTTAAAATTTAACAGTACTTGTGAAAATTGAATTTCGCTATCCAGTGCAGTATTTTTCATGTTGAACATCTGTTTAAACAATAAAGGAGATGTTAATGTTACATGGATTATCAAAGTTCAAATGTTAATTGATAATTTAATTTAATAAAGACATATGGAAAGAACAGTTATTATTATAGGAATAATAAGTTGTTATATTTTGGATAACACAGCTTTTGATGATGTTAAGTGTATTAAATTTATAACAATATTATAATTAAATATTTGATTTAAGAGATATTATTTATATTTGTATTATATATTGTATAGGTAAATTTGAAGGATGAAGAAATATTAGAAATAAGTCCATATGATAATTATTATGGCGATAAAAATGAAAATGAAATGATCAAAATCGCTGATATTTTTGATCCAGAAATATTAAAAAAAGATAAAGATAAATATAAACCTCTACATTCTTACGTAAAACAATATAATCAACATGTCGCTAAAAGCAAAATACAGATATCTGAAACTTTTCCTTATTCTAAACCGAACAAAGCGGAAATAATAAATTTACTCCAAGAAGAGGAACCACATATCGCTGGATTTAAAAATCAATTAAATAAAGTATAAACATTGGTTTTTTAAACTATACTTTAAACGTAAGAGACGTGCTATAATACATACAAAATTATTATACTATTTACTAGTATTATTCAGAAATTTCAACAAAACAGAACATCAAATTGTCACCAAGAAGAACAAATATTTTCAATTTTATGAAACTAACACGTGATTCGACATCATCGTTTGGTAAGCAGATTTATAACAATTAAGTTAAAATTATCATTTCCAGTATCTAAGACAAAGCGTCATACAAGGTGTCCTATAACTGGTGATCAGGGTTATTTATTAAAAATCATTCCCTATTTGTTTATATCACCAGTTACAGGACATTTTGTATATATTTATAAAATTATTTACAAATGTATAGAAAACGAAAAAGTCATCAGGCTTAAACATAATGAACTAAATTATGGTAATATACCTGAAGATTATAGAAAATTGGATTTACGACAAAACTCTGTAAGGAAAAATTGTAACATTCTTAAGATAATAATATGATATAAAATAATTTGTATTCTTTGAATATACAGAGGAAAAGTTATCAAGAAGAGAAATCACCTCCGTTAATTATAAGCGCAGAAGAAATTAACAAATATATAGATTTAAGTACGACTATGGAAGATACAACAGAGTCTACAGATAAAAACGACTATGACTATGTTGCACTTAAAATGGATTATGAACAGCAATTGAAAAAACATAAAAATATAAGCGACAAATTAGAGTATAACTATGCAGAAGACAAAATGACTAAGAAACCATTTGAAGGAGTTATTACTTCAAATGATACAAAATATTGTACTAACAAAGATATGAAATCTTTTGGTATTAAAGCTATCAAATGTTTAATTTACAATTATCAACATGTTAAAGACACAACGGAAGCAAAGGAAACATTATCAAAAATATGGCTGATTATTAAAGTATGGCTATGCATTTATGTGTGCATTGCGATTCCATGTTGGTGCCAAAGAGGAAATGATTTATTTTATATATGCCAAATTATTTGAAAGACTAAATGAATAATTAATATTTTATATATGTTCTTTTTTATATAACAGGGTGGTGTTGCTGTTGGTTCCGTTGTAAAATTTGCTTTCCAAGAGAAAGAATAATATTTGTTAAACAATATTATGCACAAAATCCACCAGGTATTTTAATATCAAAACTTAATAAAAAGAAACCTATTAAATACGAGCCATCAGAATTTGAACAAGACATGCATAAAATGCTTGAAACTGCGATAAAAAATATATAATACTAATAAGAATATATATAAATTGAATAAAACATAAGTAATAATGTTAGTTTAAATAAATAAATAGAAAATATACCTCTATAACTTCTTGAGCTTTAACATGATCATTTTTCCACAAAGATTGGATGACTAAACTTTCTTTAGATGATAACATTAAATTAATAAGTAATATCGGCTGATCTGCATCTTTTGTAATGAAATTATTTGAAATAGTTCTATTCTTTGATCGGTTCCATTCATTAGTATTACTAAAAATAATATCTGCCTCGGAGCTGCTATCTGTCTTTATTTTGGTATCTTCCGAATCGCTGCTATGATTTTGATAAAAAACAACATCATTGAATCTCTCTTGCGGATATGTTATATTTTCCTTTAATAAGGTATTAGGATTAATTTCACAGGTATAGCTTTCGGGTAAGCCTACGTTTTTAATAAAATAAGAATTTGTATGAAGATCCAATCTCCATTTTGCATCAGCCAACAATTTGACTAAATTAGATATTCTTGGAGTTAATTCTTTTAATTCTTCCATATACGTGGGATCACTTCTGAATTTTCTTATTTCGATCTCCATATGTGTAATACTATTTTTCAAGTAATATAATAATTCTCTAACGGCGTATTTATTAGAAATAAAATTAATATTATTGTGTTTGTTTGATCTATGAGTAAACGTTAGCTTTTCGTTTGGCATAGCATTCTGATCTTGCAATTTATTTTCATTGTTACAAAAATCGCCGTAACTTAAGAAAAGAAAAGAAAATATATTTTCCATTGTCTCCAATCTTAATGCAAATGGATATAAGGTATTTAAATATAATTCCATGTCGAGTAAAAATTTTGTGATATTTGAATACTTCTCATTGTAATTTTTACAAAGTAAAATTCCTTTTAATGCATTTACCATACTGCAATAGGCTTGAAAAATATTTTCAGGTTCTCCAGTACGTTGTAATAATTCTTTGATTTGATTATGATCTATTTCATGGATATCTGTAGCTTCTTTTAATAAATAAAGTACTGTATAATTTTCCAGAAGATACAATAGATGCTTTAATGGTATTGCATGTACAATACTCGCTAATTCTATACCATTTTGTATTTCTTCTTTAACTTCCGGACTTTTTAAATTCAAAATCCATTTAATAATTTCAATATGTATCTTCAACGTGGTATTTAATTTATGAAAAGTATGATCATTAAAAATACTAATATTACAATTCTTTAATACAAATTTCATTACTTCAAATACGATTGTATTGCCTGTCCAGTTTTGTAAGTCTTCGTTATCTTCTTCCGAACAATGATTTAAAAATTTTAATAACAAAACAATCCAAAAGTTTTTTAATGAAGTACATGACAATATCATTGAAACTTCATTAAAATTACCGGTTGTTAAGAAAATGTAACATATATCCTAACATGAAAAAAAGAAAGAACAAAATTATTACAACGACTGGAAACAAATATCAAACAATTAAACTTTTGTTACAATTAATTAATAAAAAAAAGCTATTTAAACTTACTAGGACATCTGTTAACCAATGTGATTTTTGTGTCATTATTCTCCTAAGTATTTCCATTTCATTTAAAATCATAATATCATTGTCATTTTTATATTTAAATATGTCGTTGCATATTCTAATGGCATCTTCTAGAGTAGTAGCAGACTTCGAATGCCCATTTAATTCATTCATACATAAATTCCATTCATTGATAAAGGTCATATCTTTTCTAGAATACAACGCCAATTCTATATCCTTAATATTATCTGTTATCGATACAATAGGACATAGCCATTTAAAAAATTCAGTCTTTTTAGATTCAGTTAAGATCATTTTTGATAAGATGCATACAAATCTTCCCAAATATTCATTACTAATCGTTATTTTATCTAGAATTAAAGACGATTCATCGTCGTTCTTATTCACAAGAGAGCTTTCATTAGGTATCATAAATTCCATTATTTCTTTTAATGAAATCAAATAAAAATCTAATAATCCATTAGGAAAAATGGAAATACTGAATGAATATAAGCAACACATATTTATAATATTGCAAGCTATTATAGGATTATTTATTAAATATCTTTTTAAATACGATAAAGTCGATTGGAAAAAGTCATTAAGTATATTGTTAGAAGAATCTTTTGTATTTACATTAGAACAATATAATAACAGTTCCTAGAAAAAAATATATAATTAGTAAATATTTAATAGGTAGTCATCGATAAGTATCCGATCATTATAAGAACCATTCATTTATCAAATCGATTAACTCAGCAAAAAATATTCGATATACATTGTTGTAATTTATGTTATAATTTATTATCGAACGGTTATCAAAATTGTTCTCATTTACAAGGAGAGAGCCAAGATAACAGGATAGTAATTTTTAAAAAATTCTAAACAGTTGTAGGGACTATACATTGTGCAAGCAATAAGACCCAATACTCAGCCGTTTCCAAGAAAGCAAAGGGAAAATGCATTCTTATATATCAGTTCATTTCATGTTAGATGGAAAAATAAATTTATTTAGTTTAATTTTATTATGATAATTTTAGAGTAAAATTCTAAGTCTAGAATTAATAGCTTTGACCTTTGAATGGTTCATAGTGTCAACGAACCTCTATCACGCTTTGAGGCATATCATCAATCAAATCAACAGCGACTTGAAAATCAATGTTATTTAAATTTGTTGGAATATTTTCATCATAAGAGAATTTGTCAGGGAAAAGTTTACATAATAATAAATATTCAATCCATCTATAATTATTTTCCTTTCTCATGCCACTAAAATAATGACAAAGATTAATTATTATATATGTACTTATTTCTTTCTTTGTTACTTACACATCAATTTTAATGACAGATTTAAAATCTGTATTCTGAATCATGTCTGTACTTTGTTCAGAACAAATGTTGTGATAATTATACGTTCGAAATACTTCGTATGCTGTATACCATAATTTCGATGAAATACATTTCTGTATTTCAAACATTTCCATCTCTTTTGACATTATATTGAAAATTAAATATTGCACTTAACTAAATAATAATAACTTCTATATCTAATACATTCAATAAATTATTACAGACCATGAAATGTATACCTTACTTTAACACTGTAAAGCAAAACATAAACTGGTCATCAGTATAAATTACTCTCCAAATCTTTAAATGTCAGATAAATTATTTACAAATTTAATCGTTGTCAATAAATGGCGTTACTATTGTTACTGTAGATAACATCGTTCCAATACACTAATTGTCTGTGGATAAAATAGGAACCTTCCATATTAGTATCGATTGAATTTATTGAAAGATACACACGTGTTTTTTTACAAGAGTACCATATACAATTAAAAAAACATATAAAATATTATCTAATTTAATTCTAAAAACTATCTAAAAACTTTTAAAAACTCTGATATTGTTATATTTTTAACAACATTATTTAAAGTAAACAGAATATACATAACATATTCATATAAATTTTAATCTAACCTCAAACACTAGTTTTCTTAGGACACATTCTAAATTATGGAAAGAAAAAATAAAAATTTGTTGAAAAATAAACAAATTAATAAAGAAAACGTTCGTAGGAAGAGATCAAGAATAATAATAAGAAATCTGCCATTTCAAGTAAGTTGTTTTATTGTACTATTAAACATATTAAATTTTCTTAATTTTAAATATTTGTTCTTATTGTAGCTCATAGAGGATCATTTAAAAGAATATTTTAGTAAGTATGGTAAAATTGAAGAAGTAAACATATTAAAGAAAGATGGAAAACCTGTTGGTTGCGGCTTTGTACAATTTGATCATGTACAAAGTGCAGCGAAAGCAATACATCATGCAAATATGAAGCTGCTTCAAGGTAGACCCATTGTAGTCGATTGGGCAATACCAAAAAGTAAGTATAAAAAAGATAGAAATAACCCAGGAAATAAAAAGGAAGATAATAATGTTGATACTGAAATAAAGATAGAACATGAAGATCATCAGAATGATGATAAATCGAATAATAAAAACGAATATATGGATATGTAAGTAATGAAGAAGTTATCTCTTACAAATAAATACGAATAAGGTATTTAACAAAAATATATTACCAATTATTAATTGAAATGTACAGATCGGTTGAAGAAAACAAAGAGGATATACAATACTTATCGGAAGAAGTACAAGATATAAAAGATGAGGAAGTTGTTATTAAAGAAGAAGCATCTGGAGAAGAAGAAGCAGACGACAAAGAATTAATTAGAAGACAAAATTTCAAACGCGAGTCTAATGATGTTGAGGATGGTAAAACAATTTTTCTAAAAAATGTACCATTCTCGACAACAAATAATGAACTCAAAGAATTTATGGAAGAAAGGTTTGGTCCGGTTCAATATGCTCTAATATGCATAGACCGTATGACTGAACATTCTAGAGGTACAGCATTTGTAAAATTCAAGGTAATAGATAGATTTATATTTATTATAATTAATGAATTATTAATAAAAAAAAAAAGATAATAAATAAAATGAGAATTACGTTTCTTTTCAGAATATAGAAGATGCTGAAAAATGTTTATCAGCAGGAACTGAATTACGTTTACATGATGCAATTATTGAACCTTACAAAGCATTAAGTAGAAAATGTATTATGGATAAAAATAATTTAAAGAATAAAAAAGAGAAAGATTCGAGAAATTTATATCTTGTTAAAGAAGGAGGTACACATATAAATATATTTATATTTTTTTAAGTGAAGAAATTTATAAAATAATAGAATAACATTAATTTGAAAATCAAAATATTTTCAGTAATAACAGCTGGGAGCCCAGCTGCAGTAGGCGTATCAGCTACGGATATGACTAAACGATTACAACTTGAACGCTGGAAATCTCAGATATTGCGTAACTTGAACATGTTTGTTTCAAGAGTACGCTTAGTTGTTCAAAATTTGCCTGCTTCATTAGATGATGCGAAACTTAGACTAATTTTTAAAAAATATGGTGGACCTAAGGCAATCATTAGAGAAGTATATATATGTTTACATTTTATTTCTTTTATTGTAAAAAATAAAAATCGTTTTACATGCTTACAATATTTTCATATTTGTATATATTTTTAGGCAAGAATTATGCGTGATTTAAAAAATATTGATGCAAATGGTATAGGTAAGTCCAAAGAATATGGATTTGTAACGTTCACCAAACACGAAGATGCTCTAAGAGCTTTACGAGCTATAAATAATAATCCTAAGATTTTTACATCATACAAGGTAAACTTAGATAATTAATCTTTTTACTAAATTGAACATTTTTTCCTATATTTAATCGTACGATCTATTATCAGAGACCGATAGTTGCATTTTCTATAGAAAATCGTATTATGGTAAATGCCAAACAAAGGAGAATAGAGAAAAGTCTAGCACGGAATCCTCTTTACTCGGGAAATAAAAATACCATTCCTAAAAAATCAGTGGAGCAAAAAACAATTGAAGCTAAGAAGGAATTCGAAGAAGAAGAAAAAACTTTCTCTGGTGTTAAAAGTAAACCTGGACAAACAAAGATCAGATCGAGGTTTAATTTAAAAAATCAAGCTATTTTGCATAAAAAAGTAACGAAGAAGGAGAAAAAGGCAGCTAAACACGATCAGCAGAGTAGAAAAATGAAATTAGAAAAAGTGAAAAAAGATGTGAAAGTAAGAATCCTTCTTCATATTTGTATATTTTTTGTTTTTTGTTTTTTTACACTAGTGATATGTTTTTAATAAAATTTGTCTTCTTTTTCTAGTTTAAAAAATTGGCCAAAAAAGGTGATGCGGAAAATGCAAACTTTAATAAACTTGTTGAAAGTTACAAAAATAAATTATTAGCAATAGGTCCAACCAGATCAAAATGGTACGAAACGTCATCGACGTAAATACATATTTATATATGTTTTTGTATTAAATAATTAATAGGCATCGATGTATTGTCTATTCATTTTAATAAATATCTCATATTATATATCATTGACGTAAACACACAAAATTAAGTGAATCCTATAAGAATGGAAGAACAAGAGTATAAGTTATATTATATTAAGTTAAATTATTGTCAGTAGATGACAATGTTATTTTAAAATTTGAAGAAACCAACATAATTTATAAGTACATATAATAATTAACAATTTACTTGCTTCCTAAAAATTAACGTTACACCAATAACATATTATGATCTTATAAAATATTCATAAAGATATATATGTCAAAAACATTACCTAATCTTATTGTATGTTTGATTAGGTTTTTCAAACTAATTCCAAAATTAAGCCATTTAAGCTCTAATCTTTATCACCAATGAGTAATAATATAATATCCAAGGTGATTTTTTTGTTTGTTAACAAATTGAACATTAAAAATTATATTGGTTTCTAAAGAGATGACATTGAGATTATTAGGTTTTTTATTGATCTGGGATAACAAAATTTCCTAAAAGAATTTCTCTTGAGAGTTTTAAAAGACGGGGTTTTCTCCATTCTTCAGTTAATGTTAAATTTGTTTACGCCGATGCTTAAAATGAAGGGACTTCATTAAAAACACTTTATGATGCAATGCACATAATCTTCCCCCTACTCGATATTTCTTTCTCCCAACTACTCCCTCTACTTTGTCCAGTCATATATTTCACCAGGTAGATTCACAAGAGTTATAATTCTCGTGCGCGAAAGTTATATGACTCGGCTTCTAAGCATCTAGGGTGTCGAGCGGCTAGCGTCCTTATCATCATAGGTAGACTAAACATCCTTAATGCTTGATTGAGGCGGCTTGAGATAAAGGGCGAGGAAAGTGCTTACCATCATTTCTCTCGCACCGACGACGAGTCACTTTCTTTCGGGCATTCAATTTGTAAAGACGTACAAATAAGTAAAAAGTATTTTAATCGACTCTTTTTAGTTCGATTATTTACTCGCTTACTGGAACCAAATAAATCATTTGTTATTATTTACGTGTGTGAATTCATATTTCGAACACTGTAACATAACTCGAACGCTTAACGCGAACTCAACTCACTTGTTTAATATTAGTGCTTCTCCACTTTGTCATTTTATTATATTTGTTTTAAAGATCCTTTACGTAATTCATTGTTTTTTATTTACAATTAGATCGTTATCCGTAAAAAAGTAAACGATGTGTCGGGTGTGTTTGTATAAATAATTAATTACTATCATTAATAAACTTTCTAAAAAATGATAGCTTCGTTTAGGTGAGTCTACAAAATAAAGATTATTAATTAATTATCTTCAATTTATTACACAATTTCCTGATATAATTTTGAATTATTTTTTCAAGATTCTAAGTCAATGTAGTTTTACTGTTTTATAATTTTCAGATTACTTTTCGAATCTACAAATAATTCTAAAAAATACTATTAATGTTACTTGACATTCGAAAGATTGTCAGAAGAAAGAATTTGAATTTTCCCGCGTTATTTATAACTTCGATATTTCGATTATTTCTTACTGTGTTTGAAACTTTTAAATTTACGAATAACTCGAATTTTGATATCACTTTTAATGTTCCTCTGTAATGTTATTTTGTATTTTAAAATTTCCATTAATTCACCTTGTACAAAAGAAAATTCAAATTCAAATTTATAAGTATTTTTAATGTTCCTGTTACTTTTAATTATATTTTATAAAAATATAATCGTTCTCATTTACACGCGAAAATGCATTTCAAATATTGTACAATAAATGATATTTAATATTTCTTTGAATTATAGAATTCATGCTTCGTCGAAGCTTCTCTCTGTCTTTTTTCTAAGATTTTCGAAGCATAATAAAAATGATCAACACACGGTATATAGAACTTTAGAAACTTTGGCAGCCACAGTTGAAAAACATGAATGCCCGAGTTATCGTCCATATGCGGAAATACCTGGACCAAAACCAATTCCTATTTTAGGAAATACATGGCGTTTTATTCCTTACATAGGTAGTAACATTTTATAAACAATAATCTTATAATAATACCATTAGACTTTTCTTCTATATAAATGTGAGAACATTATTCTAATCTGTCCCTAACGAATTTCAGGTGATTTTAAAATACAATCGGTGGATAAGGTTTCCAAGAGATTATACGAACAATATGGAAATATTGTTAAGATTGAAAATTTACTTGGCAGACCAGATATGGTTTTTGTTTACGATGCGAACGAAATTGAACGAATTTTTCGACAAGAAGATAAAATGCCTCATCGACCGTCCATGCCTTCTCTGAATTATTATAAACATGTATTAAGAAAAGAATTCTTCGATAATGATGCTGGTGTTATTGCTGTGTAAGTAATTATTTATTATTATTTCACCCAAATTAAATTGTGTGTATGTGTGTGGTGCTTAAATTAAATCTACGCCATTTAAGTTTTAGCGCCAATTTAGAAAATTCAAACTTCAAGTAACACTCTTTTACTGAAAAGAAAACTTTTCCATAGAAAAACCGAAACCACCGTAATATTTATCTTTACTTAGAAAGTATATCATTTCTTATGCATATGAAGTGCATACTAAATGCATACTAAATGCATATTGTATTCTAAAAGCATATTGTAAGAAACTTTACGTAACAATCCAAGGAAATATTATACAGTAGGTTTTACAAGAACGTGTATAGGTAAAGTACTTGTTAGATAACAATCCGGTGAAATCTATGGTATAATATATATTAAGTTCTCACGAAAGAGCACAAATTTTATGATCCATAAAATGTATTATTATCTAATACGAATTCAAACGAAATATTTTGTAATGAAAGTAGTGTGAAGAATAAAAAAAGAAAATAATCTTTTGTAATTGCAAAACACATAATTTATTTTGACCATTAAAGTTTTATCGTTCTGTTGTTTAGACACGGAGAGAGTTGGTATCATTTCCGTAGCAAAGTACAACAAGTAATGCTTCAACCACGAACAGCAAAAATGTATGTCGGTGCAATTGAGGAAGCAAGTCGTTCATTCCTCAGAAGGTATAATTACAGAATGCCTTTCCCTTTTCAGTTATATTCTTTTCTTTTTTCCCTTTCTATTTTTATCCTTTCCATTGCTCATTTGTCTTCATTCTATTCAACTTTTGAAGTTGACATGATTTTGTATAATTAATTCTGATATTATATTGCAGGATAGAAAGTATAAAGAATTTGAATAATGAAGCACCTGATGATTTTTTAAATGAGATACATAAATGGTCGCTCGAGTGTAAGTATACTTATGTTATTATTATTTCTTTCTAAAAGTAGACTGAACAACATAGAATATAATTAACAGCTATCGCACGAGTTGCATTGGACGTTCGTTTGGGTTGTTTAGACAACAATGCTAATCTCGAAACACAAGAATTAATAAACGCAGTAGTTACATTTTTCAAAAACGTCGGTGTTCTGGAACTTAAAATACCTTTTTGGAGGATTTTTAATACACCTACTTGGAAAAAATATGTTAATGCACTCGATACTATTGTACGGTTTGTATTGACAAAAAATACATAAACGAAAACAAATACGTATATTAAAGAAACAAGAAATTTAATTAATTTACAAATATAATTAAATAAATAAATATATTTTATATTATTCCTAATGTGATTTAGAATTACATCAAAATATACGAATGCTGCTTTATCGAACTGGAACGATTCTCCAAATTCTACCAAAGAATTATCATTGTTGGAAAGAGTTTTGGCTTTAGAAGGAAATTCGAAATTAGCAACAATTTTAGCACTTGATTTATTTCTAGTTGGTATAGATACTGTAAGTATGTATGAGTTTGTGTATATATATTAGGTTGTCCCATAGGTTCTTTCCGCGCCACGCTATGTGGCCCAGTAAATTTTTCTAATTATTATTTTTCTAAAGACTTCGAATGCTGTGGGATCAGTATTATATCAATTGGCAACGCATCCAGAAAAACAAGATATTGCTTACAAAGAAATATGCAACATATTACCATTAAGAGATGCACCGATGGAAGCAGTACACTTAGAAAATTTGAAATATTTGAAAGCTTGTATTAAAGAAACTTTGAGGTTTTTATTTTTCTATACAGTAGTAATATTGAACGCGTTTCATGCTTAATTATGTAATATTTAATATAATCATTATTTCATTTATTTAGTATTTTGTTTATATTTAAATTAGGATGTATCCTGTTGTTATTGGAAATGGAAGATGTATGACTAAAGATACAATAATCAGTGGTTATAATGTACCGAAAGGGGTAAGAAAATTGGTTTTGTACAAAAATCTTATTTTTAAAGATTTCATTGTCTAGTTAAATTATATGTTAAATATTAAATGTATTTCTATGTATGTGTGGATATATGTGTATAGGTGCAAGTTGTTTTTCAACATTACGTTATAAGCAATCTAGACAAATACTTTCCAAGTAGTGAAGAATTCATTCCTGAAAGATGGTTACAAGATAACGGTGTACTTCATGCATTTGCGTCACTTCCTTTTGGCTATGGTAAGCGTATGTGTCTTGGACGACGATTTGCTGAATTGGAAATGATTATTGTAATCAGTAAGGTGAGTTCCAGAAATATTATACTATTGTCTTACTTGGATAGTTTAAAAGGCTGATCTAAACAGAGGAAGACGTTTATTATCTTTTCTAGCGGATAATAATATCTACTAAGAAAAATAAACAAATTTACAAAATTATTTCAAATTTGACCCTTGATTTTTTTTTTCTAATGAAGAAAATGAGAGACCGTAGTATTTTTACGTTGTTGAATAGTAATTGAAAGAGAAATTGACTACACGAATAAGGACATTTATACGAAGATACGCTTGGTGCTCACGAGATATTCATAGTAGTTAACTTTCCGATGGTTACGCTTAACGAACTCAAACAATAATTAATTCCTCCGGTCATTTAATTATTTTCATAGTTATTTTATTACGATATGAGAAATATTTCGTTTATCTAACAAGTAAATGATCATCTAACATTGACTTTTACATGCCAATCTAATGCAAATTTAAATTATTATTTATTCAATGAATATAGTTTAGGAGGTAAGTTTAAGATTATTTTTCTATTTCAGATCTTACAGCATTATAAAATAGAATATCACCATGAAAAATTAGATTATTATATTGATCCGATGTACACGCCTAAAGGACCACTAAAATTAACATTTATTAACAGATAGGTAGATTTATTTGTACATTCATTATTTATATTTACCCGCCTTGAGATAGGCAACCCTCGATACACCTCGGTATAGAAAAAGTTTAGGCAATATTATTGAGAAACATAAAGTTCTTTATTCAATTTACATGATTGTATATAAATATTACATTAATATTATTTATTATTAAATTTGATATATTTCAGATAAAAAATAAATATAATATTTAAAATATATATAATAATAATAATTGCAGTATATAATTAAAAATTATAGCATGAAAAACAATGCTTAGACAAAATTTATTATATGTGTGTATGCGTGTGAGTCACATTGGTAATTTTATTTATATTTACATACATAGATTATAATAAATACATTACAAACAAATCAATTCTCTTATGTATGAATTGTCCCAGATAATTTGATACTTATAATAATTAATCACAGAAATCTATAAATCATAGCAATGCTCGTTTACCAAGCACGATCGATACTAAATTGACGGACACGTGTGCGTGTAACTGAAGTAGTATAGATGTATCACTTATTAAATAAATAATTCTATAATTTTATAATGCTTTTTGTTCAAAAAATAATATTTTCAATATTACAATTTAGTGTATAAAGTATAAAGTATCACGGAACGAAATCATGACAAAATGCATCTATTTAAAATGATTTATCTAAATAGGGAGGAAGGAGGGATCAATATGCCAACAAATAGAAATTCTTTCGTACAAATCTGATTTTAGTTAAGATGATGTGAGCACTCACCTATTTTTTTTATCGAGACTTATTTAACCATCTATTTAATTATGCAAATATCATTTGATTTATATATATATATATATATATATAAATGAACAAAACCACTTTTATTTGTTTTTGATCGATATTATAGATCTATCGATGTCCTTTTTAATCACTTTTATTATCGGTTTTAATTTCCTCCTTGACAACATCCTTTCTGCGATCAGATTTATTAGTAAATACACCGGGAAGATGATCCTTAACCTGTTCTCTTAATTTTTGTGGAATGACCATGACGGTTGTAGTGACGTTTCCTAAGAATAATATCAAGAACATAGCACTGAGAACCGAAACGTGCCAAGTAGCCTCTGGATGTGATATTAAAACATATAATATATAAGCGTTATAAAGTTGGAAAAAGTATCCAACAAATAGGAATGGAAGGAGAAACGATAGTCCACGCCACATCCAAGAATGAAAACCTTCAATAGTAATATCCATATTATGTCTTTCACCTAATGCTTTTAAACGATAAAGTACACCCCGTTGATAACGAAATTGTAGATATTGTACTATACCTAAAAATATTAATATTTATGAAAGTATCGAGATAATCAAAAAGAATTAATTAAAATCATTAAACAGATTAGAATACTTACTAATATATACATTGAACCAAATAAATTGACCACGAAATGCATACCAAGCACCTGTATTTGGCCACACTAATAAAACAGCCGACACTACAGTAGAGAGAAAGTGATGAAATCGCCACCAGCCTTTAATTCTTGATCCATTTACTTTAAGAATACTTTCTCTTATTGTTAATGTGCAATAATACCAGACTAGAAGGAACATCAAACTCAGTTCCAATGTTCTAAAATAATATTCATTTTTTTTTTTTAATAATATTAAAACATTATATTAAAGAAATAATTAAGATTCGTTGAATAATTGATATATATATTTATAAATCTTACCTTACATTAGTAAAAAGATTTAAAACAGATAGCACAAAACCAATCACAGATAATACTAATTTAAATTTTTCATATTCATCCTTGTATTTAAATCTGAGAAGATAAAAAAAAGTAAATTGATCATTAGTTCTCGATGATAATTAATCTGATATTAATACAAATATTTTATATTTCCTTACATATATGTATTTTATTTCATATTTTTCTATATATAAGGAAAAAAGATAAAGAAGAAACCTTACTTATCATTTTTGTTCAATATAGAAACATTAACACTGCCTAATATAATTTGAAGATATACACCGTTTGGTTTTGGTAAAGTTTGTTCCATTTCATGTAATTGTTGTTCTCTTCTTATCATATCTTTATCTAACGTCATTCTTGTACTTTTCTCATGAAGCCTAAATAAATAAATATATATATATATATATGTATTATATAATCTTTTAATGTAAGTAGTAAACTTATCTTCTTCACTATAATAAACTTACTGTTTTAGAGATTTAGAAATAATATTCATTCTATATCTTTGATGAGAGATTCCTTTAACACATTTTGCTTGTAACTCTCTAACTTCTTCTAATTTAGCAAGATATTCCCTATTTAGTACCTGTAATAAAAAATCACACATATGATAAACATTAATTATTCAAAAAATAATATCACGCAAACGCTATATTATAAAAGAAATGAATGTTAGTAAAAGATAACAAATTATCATTGTTATCGTGCTATTATTGTTATTCTATGTTTAATGCGTATAATACAGGCTGTATTAAATAAATGTTTAAATATCAGAAACCAATTTATCAAACAATTTGAATCATTCAATCGCTACATTATAAAAGAAATAAATATTAATCAATAATAAATCATAATCATTATCGTCATTATCGTGTAATCATTGTTACAAAAAAAGAAATATTTTTTTATAACTAAGCAAAAGAAAGAGGGGAAAAAATAATAGAAAGAATGAAAAAGAAAAAGGTAGACAAATCGATAGGTTTCAAAGTTCACAAAGTTCATTAACATATTAATGATATTTATTAATTTATTTTTATTCCTTTAATGTGCATTTTGTTATGATATTTAAATGCAATTCGTCAAAGAAATAAACAACTTAACCTGTCTTTCTCCCGCGATAAAGAATAATATTATTGGAGAAAAAACGAAAAGTAAAGGATAGATTTTTTCATTATTCTTCTCCTCCTCCTCCCTGATTATTTCAGTTAGATTTTTCTTTTTTTTTTTACCTCCAACTCCTTATAATCTCGTGCCAAGTCCTTCCAATCTTTTAAACAAGATTCAACGTCAGTGTCCATTTTTTCGTTCGTTATTTATATATTTATTTCTATACTTTGGATGAAATTATTTATTATATATTAGTATTGAAATAAAAAATATGAGTCCTCTGTATGAAAAATCTTGAATAATATTTATCTTAGATGTCGTTTTCTCGTGTAGAATCGTCGTCAATGAACATCGAACCATCGAACACTGTCGAGACATGCAATCACTATCGTGCGTTCTATGATATCGAGTATATCGTCATCTCAGTCTTTTCAATCGATTTTAACAATAAACAATAAAATCCTATTTAAATTTGTAATAGAATATAACGATCAATTATTGTGAACAAAAATAATCTAACCTATTTCCATGATACGATTGATTTTTTAATTCTTGCGTATACTTTCCTCCACGATTTATCGTTTCTATCGTAATTGAGAGAGAAAGAGAGAGAGAGAGAGAAGGAAAGAAATGAAAGAAATAAGGAAGAAAAAGAACAATTACAAACTCATGGTGTTGGAAGAAAATTCACGAGAGGAGGGCACCTAGAATATCTTGATACGTCACTGAAGTGCAACGTTAATTGTCCAAAGGTCGCGTAGATGGCGCTATCGTCGTCACTTTCTCGAAAGTGGAAATAAAAAAAAAAATTATGCAATTACGGAAAAGCGCCATCTTCCGGTATGCAAGAAATTTAAAGGATACCTTTTTTTTGTTTTTCTGTTTTCCTTCAAAACAAAAAATAAAAGAAGAAAAAAATAATATACGATACGTTCGAAATCTTTTTTATCGCTGACGAGTGTCAGTGTTCGATGAATATGACGATGATTTATTTCAATCATTCCACAAGCATCTTTATCTTTTCATTTTATTTTTTTTATCATACATTGTCTCGATTTGCTAAATTTGTCTTCATAAGATTACTTTTAATAATTAAATAGTCAAGATACAAGGTCACGTTTGATACGATAAATGTTCGTAAACGTATTTTCATTTGCGTATTTATTAAATATGTAATATAATTAATATTTGATTTATTTATATTTAAAATAATCAATAAGTATTTGTTACAATTGAAAGGAATTTTTTCAGCAAGATATCATTATTATTATCCGAAAAGTTCGTGCCGATTAGGGAATAAATCGATTACGAACATTCAAAGCAAATCAATAATAATAATAATAATAATAATAATCAATAAATCTGATACAAATTATGTAACAATAATAATTTAAAAAAAATATATATATGTATATATATATATATATATATATATATATATATATGCGTACGTATATAAAAACAACTTAAAACGGTCAGAATTTTTCAGCGGTCCTTGACCAAGCACGTTCCACCACGATTTGGAATGGAAAAAAGATGATTTGCATTAGTATACTACTACTCTTCTTATTTATATTCCTTCCGACATAGGAGAGGAAAAAGAAGAAAGATTCAAAAGATTTGAAAAATTTCAAATTGGAAATCTTCTTTAACAATTTTCATGGATCGTTATAAATATAAATATTGTTTAAATGATAAAAACATTCTCTTGCATAGCATTAAATACTATCATTTACAAAACGAAACCACTTCCTCTCTTTTTTTCATACTACGTCAACATTTATCGTAAAATAAATATTAGACGAAGAAAAGAAGTTGTAAGATTTATCGTACGCGTTTAAGAGTTCAATGTTATTTCATCGGAAGTTGGATTTTTAATCTCACCAAAATATCACTGGTATGACATTAAATACAAGAAATAGATATTCCAGATCGATTGGTACGTCTATTGCATTATTTATAGTGGATATTATCGTGTACCGTTCAAAGTCTGTGAATCCTATCAGACTTTAAAAGTAGATTTCTTTACCCTTTTTATCTATAGTATCATCATACATATATATATAGGTATAGATTTTATTTACCGCCAGTTTTAAATCATTCCTTATACACATACATACATATAATTATAGAATTTATTTTCTACGAATTTCCACATTTTTCGATAAAGAGGGAGAAGGACCGAAAAACAATTCGAAAATCGTGGTAACTAAAATAGATCAAATTGATTTGATCTATTTCTTTGTTTTCTTTTAAAAAGACTAACTTAGCAAATAAATGATGTCAATAAATTATACAAATATATTTGATAATATAAATATAATTAGATTATCAAGTAAAATGAATTGTTTCCAATTTGTTGACTTTTAAGTCCAGTGTTATAATAATTGGTACAATCGTTGGGCGATTAAAAGAAATAAAGGAAATGTTGGATGCATTATTTTGTCAAATACTTTGACAGTTTCTATAATTAAAGAGACTTGTATAGAACAGAAAGGAATCCCCACTCTGCTTTTCTCTGTCTTTCTCTCTCGGAGTTTGAAGAGACTCGAGTAAGAGATTGAAAAATGTTCGAAACTGTTAAACTTCAAGCAGTCTCGGTCGTCGGGTTCTCCAGTTAGCGACAACCCGAGCATGAGAAAGTATCCTACATATACACCCACCATATATACAAACAAATAAACACGCATTGAAACATATACCTAAGGAGTTGAAACAAACGTGCTTTTTTCCCTTTTTTTTTTTTTTTTTTTAACTAAAAACAAGCATAGGTGGTGCGTTTTATAATTGAATAGAATTAGTGATATACCTGAATAAAAAATAATACGAACGATTGAATTAGTGAATGAATTAGCATGGAGGTGGGGGAGATAAAATGGCGGGAACAATGATAAATTTTTAAAAAGATCTTCCCTCATTAGGATATATGGTATTCCGAAATAAACAAATAATACGAGTTGGAGTATATATACATGCGGTTAGTAAAAAGAAAAAATAAAGAAAGAGTTGCAGTTTATATTTCGAATACGAACGAGTAAGAAAGGAGAAGGAAAGAAGGAAAAGAAACATAAATGTGCAGGAGGTTCAACGACGCGTGAACGATAAGAAAAGAAGACGGGTTGAGTTGTTCGATCGACGATAACGTTGTCGACATTGTTCTCTTCTTCTTCTTCTTCTTCTTCTTCTTCTTCTTCTCTTCTTGGTCATCATCATCATCATCATCATCATCATCATAATCGTCGCGTGTTGCAGTTGTCAAACAAAATTGTGCTTTGTGCGTTAAAGGTATTCTATAAAATTATATTACAAAGCAGTAAAGAGAGAGTTTGTTGATCGAAAAAGAAGAAAGGAAGAGGAAGAATTCTTCGTTGTTCTCGTTTATGAAGAAGAAGAAAAGAAGAAGAAGAGGAAGAAGAAGAAAAAGATAGTGGAAGGGGGTTGTGGATAAAGTAAACGGGCTTCTCTAGATAACGGCATAGTTCAACAACGGTATTCGGATCTCGAGGCGCGAAGCTAAGAAGAATAATTCTGATTGGTAGCCGGCGACGCGCCGCTTTCCGGTCCGATTTCCGGTCTCGACATTCAGCCGCGAATTGCAGCACGCGCGCGCAACCTCTCATGCACTCTGCGCGTGTGTGTAATGTGTGTGTCTCTAAACCGATTCTCTTTTTATGTTTTACTTAATTATTATTAATATTTATTCAAGAAAAATATAAATTTAAGGAACCAGGAAAGGAGATAAAAATACGAGAATAAGAAAAGCAACGCAACGCAACGCAACGCAACGACAACTGCAACGCGAATAATTCACGCACCACTGTGTGGTTTCCATTTTCGTTTTGTATTATTATTAAAATTTATACAAAATAAACGAAAACTAAAGAGAGAAATAGAGAGAAGAAACAGAGAAGGAGAAAAAGAAAGAAAGAAATAAGACAAGAATAAGAACAGCAAACAACAACTGCAGCGCGCACATTCACGCACTGTGCGTTAACCGGTTCCGTTTTGAATTATTTACGTTTATAGAAGAAAAAAAGGAAAGAAAGAAAAAAAAGAAAAAAAGGGGAAGAAGAAGAAGAAGAGTAACGCCATTTTGTATCGTTATTAGTATTTTAAATGAATAGAATATAAATAGATTTTGAATGAAAGATTCCAATAGAATCCAATAGAATATAACGCTGGCTATATCAGTTCAATGTGGTCGTATGCAAATTAATTAATATGATATAAATAAAATATAAAATAAAAAAAAGAAAAAAAAGAGGAATTAGTAAGAGATATAAGAAGATTGAAATAGGAGAGGTGGTCAGAGAAAACGTGATCGTCGTTAAAACATGATCGTTTGAATTTGATCGTCGTTTCCAATTTCGCCAAGCATAAAATTATTCGACAAAGTTATTCGCCGAGTTAATACGAGAGGATTATATATTCGAACGTTTCGTAAAATCGTCTTTTTTTTATATCCCTTTACTTTCTTCTTATCCTTTTCTCGTAAAGAGAATATATTTATTATCGAGAATGCGTACGTTATGGTCGAGTTTGAAAAGATCTCGTCCATCTTTGTTTAACGCGGCTTCTATGTCGCGCAAAAAGCTTTTCGTCAATGGTAACGTAAATGATAAAAATAAAATGGATATCAAAAAGAAATCGGACATATCATCGGGAAAGTCTTACGTCGAAAGAAAATATGTAACTTCGATTACAACAAACTCGGCAGTTATTTTAAGGGAACCACCGAAACCCAAAGGTTTCCCGTTATTTGGTACAATATTTGAATTCTTAAATACCGGTGGTGCGAAGATGCTTCACGAATACGTCGATCGTAGGCACAAAGAATTAGGACCGATTTATAGGGAACGTATCGGCCCGGTAATGGTAGTTTTTGTTAACTCACCCCAGGAATATCGAAGAATTTTTAGGCTCGAAGGACCAACGCCTAAACATTTTCTTCCGGAGGCTTGGCTTATTTATAATGAGCTTAGATCTTTGGAACGAGGATTGCTTTTCATGTAAGTCCATTTTTCTTCTTCTATTACATTTTATTTTTGATTACATTATAGTATATATAATTAATATTACAATATAAAATGAATAAAATGTGTTTCATAGCAGAAACTCATAGAGTTATGTGATACACACACGATTATATTCTTATATACAATATAATAATACTGATAAATTATCCTCAATCCTAATATATTTCTCATAGATTTAACATAAAATGTAATTTAATTATCAAAACAATTAAATAGACAATATTATTTCATAGGAACGGAGAAGAATGGCTAAAATATCGGCGAATATTAAACAAGGTGATGCTGTTATCAGATCCAACGGACATGTTTGTTGGTCCATGTCAAAAGGCTGCTGAGGGATTAGTAGAAAAATGGATAACTCAACATAATAGTGATGATACGTTATCCCAATTGGAAACTCAACTATATCAATGGTCAATCGAAGGTATAGGATTTAATAATAATTATATATTTTAATAACAACAATATTTCGTGAATTATTTTCAATCAAACATATTCCTATACAAAATAGCAATGTTGGCAACTTTAATGGGATCCACATGGCATCAACATAAATCAGTAATATCACGTTATTCTGAAAACTTAGCTAAATCGTTGCACAAAATATTCGAATATACAGCTGAGTTATCAGTATTACCGGCAAAATTAGCAAAAACCTTGAGACTACCTTCCTGGAATAAATTCGTTGAGTCTGCAGATTCGGCATTAAGTATCGTTCGAACATTGGTACCGGAAATGGTTCACCTTGGTGGTGATGGTCTACTGCAGACGATGATGAACGAAGGAATTCGGGACGATGATCTTGTTAGGATAGTCACTGACTTTATTATTGCGGCTGGAGATACGGTATTTTTTTATTACAAATATTAAATCAGTGACATGTTCGTTTGATTAATTAATAAATAATTAATCGTTCAGGTCAATGTTAACATCCAATTTGTTTTAATTTTACTTTCAGACAGCTTTCTCCACTCAATGGATGTTATTTTTACTTGGTAATGATACCAAATTGCAAGACAAGTTGTACGAATCTATTCAAAATTTATCATCCAAGGAAATATTACGTAATTCCTTGATTAAAGGAGTTATTAAGGAAACCCTTAGGCTATACCCAATAGCTCCATTTATTACGAGATATTTGCCAGAGGATAATGTCATTGGTGGATATTTTGTACCTAAAGGGGTAAATATACAATTTTATATATGTTTGTTTTTCCAACAATATCATTGACAGTGCATGCATATTGATTGATTACAAGAAAATTAATAATTAATAATCAAATTAATTTAATGACTACAATATTGAATGAATGAATGAATTTTTCTTTTTTTTCTCCTTTTTTTTTGTTATATAGGAATTAATTTTACTTTCATTGTATTCGAGTAGCAGAGATCCCATTAATTTTCCACGACCGAACGAATTTTATCCAGAAAGATGGATACGAACAGAAAATGGTAATTATCAGGACGTAGTTAATCCTCATGCTAATATACCATTCGCTTTAGGAGCAAGAAGTTGCGTAGGTCGTAAACTCGCTGAAATTCAAATATCTCTTGTATTGGCCGAGGTAATCATATTTTTTTCAAATATAAGTTATTCTATTAAAATATATTTGGAATATCTAATAAATCTTGTTTTTTTTTTTCATTCACAGCTTGTTCGTACTTTCAAAATAAAATGTATGAATAAAGACGAAGTGAAATTGATATTGCACTTGATATCCGTACCGTCTAAACCAATAAAGCTTAAATTAATTAAGAGAAACTTTACGGTAAGATAGTAGAGAAAAAATTAAGGGTAACGTCGTTGTAGACAAATTTTAGTAACTTTTTACATATCACATATATATATATATGTATGTATATATAATATTTTTTTTTATCTTCTTCCATTAAGGCGTAAATTAAATTTTACATTGCCATTTAAATTCGGATGATTAAAAGAGAAAAGACGATTATTTACAATCTCATATTATTTTGTATATACAATTCACAA